CACTTTTTTAAGGACAACTTCAACATATGATCCTCATCAAGAATAAAAATTTAAAGATAGAATTAAAAAAAAAATTCACCTACCCAAATTTGGATTTTTCATTTCACAATTCTAACACCAAACTCAAATTTCTGACTAAAGAAAAATTACTTTTAAATCAAAACTGTACTATTAAAATTGGAATATCAGCTTTACATCATCATTTTTAAACATCTTACTTTTAGCCACTAACTATATTTCCCCCGGATTTACTTTCTATCTATTAAGGAAGTATCTTTCTGCCTTTCCTTTACGCTTTTATAGTTAAGACTCTTTATAAAGCCTTTACTGCTGCTGAAAGTTGTGAAAGCATAACTCCAAGAACAGAAGGGAGGGCAAAAGTCAAACAGGTAGTAAAGAAGAGTAACTGTTACTACACAAATGTTTCAAATGCTACTCAATTTTGAATGTTTAATAAATGCGAGTGTACTAAGGCTTCATAACCAAGTATTTTCTTTCTTAAGATACCTTCTTTCCTAGTCAGTGATGTTCATCTTTCATTCATCTCAAATCAGCGCAATACTCAACACAAATAGCAAATTATCCCACAGCAAAAAAGCGCACTATAAAACTGTGTAACTTTCTTGGAAGACTAAAAACAGTTTTTTAATACTATGACTTGATTCTTCCATCAATGAGTGCTATAGCTGCTCCTTACAAACTATCCAGAACCCCAAGAGGATTGGAATTCTGGTAATAAAATTTAATTAAGTGACAGCCACTGGAAGAACCTGCTACATGCTGTCAAATGCTTATTTTGATGTGATTCTTCAAGAACCATAATGTCATAAACAGAAAAAATTAGTCAGAGGACAGCATGAAAATCAGTAGTTATATGAAAATTTTTGTAAACATTGAATGGTTATGATTTCAAAAGTCATTCACTTGACTTAAGAGTGAAATATTGTGGCGGCCAGTTAGCTTAGTTGGTCAGAGCGCAGTGCTCATAACACCAGGTTGCCGTTTCGATCCCCACATAGGCCACCAAGCTGTGCCCTCCACAACTAGATTGAAACAACTATTTGACTTGGAGCTGATGGGTCCTGGAAAAACACACTGTTCCCCAATTTAAAAAAAAGAAAAAAAAGAAAGAAAAAAAGAAAAAAAAGAATGAAATAAATAGCCCTGAAGGGGCCAGTACTTTTGAATGCACACTCAATGTAGTGACGAGGATACGTTGGAAACAATGTCTGGTGAAGGGAAGGGCTTTGTTCGTGCACTGTTCGCCCTTCACTGTTCCGCTGCAAGCTGCTGGTTCCACCTCCCTCAACTTGGTCCGGCTTATGCTAAGAAAGGAAAGAAAAAAGAAATTTTTAAAAATGCTTTAAGAATCTGGGGCAATGTTTTAACATTGTGTTACCACAATGCAACACCATCACTTTACCTCTCTACGTTCATTAAACAAAATGTCAATATGGGCTACAATGACCAGTTCCTCTATTTCCCCAATCGGACAAAACAAATAATTACATTATAATCAGTTTCCACTATGCCTAGCTGTTTTTGTTTATTTGTTTGTTTTTAGGTGATATTTTGGTTCCTTTTACTTCACAAAGGGATAGTGAAGCGATGAAGAACGTGAGACTAGATTAGTCAGACCTGGTTCTGAAAATCAGCTCTACATCCTACTAGTTGTGTGACCTTGAGCAAGTTACAATACTTAGCCTTGCTAGAGCCTCAGCTTCCTTACCTGTAAAGTAGATATGAGATAAGAAAAGATAACACAGGGCCAGCTGAGTGGCACGGTGGTTAAGAGCTGGCTTGGTATGCCAGAGGGCCCCGGTTCGGATCCCATATATGAGGGCCAGTGACACTGCCCTCTACAGCTAA